CAGAAAGGAGAGGGTAGGGGACAGGCAGGCTGGGGGGCTCTGGCCTGGGCTGGGGGAGCACCTCACACCCCCCCCGCCCATCCTCCCAGTTGCACCTGGATGAGTTCCTGCTGCTCCAGGTCCCACTTCTTGATGCCGTTGTCCCGGGAGCCGCTGAACAGGATGCCCCCGTGGATGGCCAGACACTCGATGCCATCGTAGTGCGGGGGCTCGAAGTTGTGGGTGGGGCCGATGGTGCCAGCCACGCACTCGCCCAGCTCAAACATCTGCGGGGAGGCCCAGGAGCCGCCCACTGTGGGTACAGCCCAGGGTCCCAGGAGCCAGGGGCCCAGTGGCCCAGTGGCCCAGTGGCCTGTCCCACGGTGGCAGCGGAGCCCAGGGGGAGAGGAGCTATCCCTGCAGGCAAGGGACCCTTCCCAGGAGTGGGGTGTGGGAAGGCTGAGTTAATGCAGAGGGACCCCCCAGCTCAGCATGAGCGGCTATGGAGAAAGGTGGGGTGGGGGGGTGCGCCTCCGTCTAAAATTCCTTTTATTTTTAATAAACATAACAAGACTCGTACTTCAGACGAGAACACTCATGGCCCCTGCACACCCTGCTTTCTGGTTTCGATGACACAATCAGGGAATGAACCTGACCCTGCGTATTTCATTTTCACCTTTGTCACTGTCACGGCCACAGGGCACCTGGTTCCTGGGGTGTCCCTCGTCTCCGTGACTGTTACTCGACTCTTGTCAGTCAGGCTGTTTCTAACTTGTCACCATTTAGGAAACAAGGTTGCAATTTTTACTTTCTGCGTGGCTCCAGCCTCTGCAGTGCTCTGCACATCAATCCCAGAGGCCATACCGTCCTTTCTCGAGTGCCCCAGGGCAGCAGAGGGAGGGGCAAGTGGGAGAAATGCCGAGGATGCTCCCCCCCTCCCCCCTTGATGCCGAATATCTTGGGTACCTTGACGTAGTGGTCCTTGGAGCCAGTCACCACCAGGTCGTGCTGGCTGGCTGTCTGGGTGACCGTTAGGCACATCACCGGGCCGATGTGGCCCGTCAGCTTGCCGACTGGCTNGTGGGAGGGGGGGCCTGCCCCGGGGGAAATGCACTGGCCAGGGGCCTCTTGTCCCTACAGAGCTGCCCATTCCCCAGGGGTATTGGAGGACAGGGGACAGAAACGCAGCCCAGGTCCTGCTGGCCCTGGGGTGGTCACCCCAAGCTGAGATCTGTGTGCCCCTCCTTGGCCACGCCCACCCTACCGCCCCTCCCAGTCACCCCCGGACCTGCTGAGCTCCCAGATTCGGACAGCGTTGCCCGAGGCGGCGTACAGCATGGTGCCTGAGGGGCTGAGGGCAATCTGGTTGATCTGGTGCTCCCCCTGAGCGCTGGTGAGGGCGCGGGTGGACGTGGCCGCACAGGCATCACCTGAGGTCACCTGGCCCGAGGACCTGCCCGTGAGGAAGGGAGGCGAGGTCAGAGATAAACCGGTCCATCCGCGCAGGCCAGAAGACCAATCAAACCTCGCTCAGAACGGGCCTGTAACCCACTTCTTCCAGGAAGCCTTCCCCGACTGACTGCCCCACGCCCAGGGGTGTCACTTGGTCCCCCAGAGCTGGGTGGGGCTGTCCTGAGTGGGACCCCTGGGCTGGGCACCGCAGTCAGCCCACCACTGGGGGGAGCACTTACGTGAGGGTGCGGATGCACTTAGCCGAGTCCCGGATGTCCCACACCTTGATGTAGGAGGTGGACACGGAGAACACGAGTCCTGAGTGGCTGCAGTACTTGATGGAGACCACGTTGTTGGGGTGGCCCTTCAGCGCCGCGATCTCTTGCCCCGTGACCAGGTTCCACATCTTGCAGCTGCGGTCTGTGACGGGAGAGAGCACCGGGAGGGGATGAGCGTCAGCACTGAGGACAGCAAATCCAAGGCTGGGGCCGGACTCCAGAGCCAAGGGGTGGTGACGACTCGGAGAGAAGTGGGTCGGAGCCTGACTGGTGTGGCTCAGTGGTTGAGTGTTGATCCAGGAACCAAGAGGTCAAGGTTCGATTCCCGGTCAGGGCACATGCTCAGGTTGTGGGCTCGACCCCCAGTAGGGGGCGTGCAGGAGGCAGCTGATCAATGTTGATGTTTCTCATTGATGTTTCTATTTCTCTCTCCCTCTCCCTTCCTCTCTCTCTAAAATCAATTAAAAGATATACATATAAAAAAAGGACAGGGTGGGAGATTTGAGCCCAGGCAGGAGACACAGCCCCGAGGCCTCAGGTCCTAGGGGTGCCCGTCCCAGCCCTCTCTGGCCAAGTAAGCAGGATGGGAGGGAGACGCTGACTCTACCTGGCCGACCTGGCCTCCACCCACCTTTGGACCCCGTGAAGAGCAGCTCATCCGTGGCATCCAGGCAGAGGATGGGCTTGGTGTGGCCCTCGGCCATGGAGACGCACTGCAGCGGGGCCGTCCGCCCACCCTTGGCTCCTCCAACCGGCGTGATGATACCCCTTCCAGATAGAGGGAGAGAGGGCACCTGTCAGCCGGGGTCCCCGTAACAAGGCCGAGAGGAAGACAGGGCAGATTAGGGACCTGGCCTGAGGAGGGGACCCCAGGAACGCCAGCCACTGTCAGCCGTCTGAGAGCCCAGACAAAGATGCACAGGCCAGATGGGGGGTCTTGCTCACACGGCCGGGTATCAGTCTCCATCCCCCGTGCTCCAGGGGGAGAGCCCTGTCTAGGCGCAGCCCTGCCCATGGCGAGTTCCCACCCAATCCCTGCTTGACCAGAACCTAAGACATAAAAATGCCCCGGCCACAGCTGGGCAGGCGGAGGCCAGGGACTAGGGGCCTCTGGCACTCCCGTGAAGCCCCCATACTGCTTCTGGTAACCTAGGCGGTGAGGGGTGCTGAGGAAGGGAAATTCGGTCCTCGGCCACTGCCCACTGTCCCTGGCATATGCATTCGCCAGGGACTGCACCTCCCACGGGCACACCCCACCCAAGGTCCCTCTGGGACCAGCATGCTCACACCTGTGACTATAGTTTACAAAGGGCTGAATCCCTTGAGGGACCTGAGCTCAGCTCTGGGTGGAGGAGATCTGGGGCCCCCTGGAGGGAATTGGAATAGCACCTCCTTGCCCCCACGACCCCTACACCAGTCTCCTGCAGACTCTGAATGGTGAGTTTTTCTCAGGGAGTGTATCTGTTGCCCGAGTTTTGCTCAGGTCTGAAAATAAATTCTAGCTATTTTCCAAAGAGAATGCTATTCCTGACAGGGACGCTGTGGCCGAGAGTGTGATGAAATGACCAATGTCCTGCCCGCAGGCTTTTCACGGCCCCAGGGACTCAGCCAGGCCCACCCAGGGGACGGGATCAGACAGGCCCAGCTGCCAGTCAGGGGTTGAGCACACAGGAACAGCCCCCCTGTGGGCCGTCGGCTCCCTGATTCTGACCCCAGTCTGGGCCCAGCTGTGTGGCCAGGAAGGAGCCCAAGACAGCTGTAGGCAATATGTTAAATGCCTAACCCTCCTTGGTGAGAGGCCGGCAGGCTAGCATCCTGTGGGGTGATGCCTTGGCCCCCTGGGAGAGTCTGCAGGTTGGCCAACACCCAGGATGGGGCCA